CGTTTAGATAGAGATAATATATCTGGTTAGATAATGCGCTAAATCAACCAGTCCCGACCATGTTTGGTCATACCGAACTAGTCTCCTCCAATGTGTGTGTGTGTGTGTGTGTGTGTGTACCGTTTGCGCGCGCGTTCGCATAAAGGACAACCACTATACGTGTGTATTATGTTAAATGGGTTTTTTTTTCAATCGTGTAGTATAATTGATCGACCGACGCACACGACCAAAACCTGTATGTTACTTAATTGTAGTACGTTTTTTTTCTCTTTTTTTTTCCGTTCGACCCAAGTTTTTTGCACGAGTGTGCCGTTGATACCTGCATTTGCAATGTTAATATAATAAATTTGAACCGCGAAATCTGTTTATAATATGATTTTCTACTATATTATTATTACCTCTCTGATGAAAATAATCTCCTGTCCCATGCTCACTTTTTTTTAATACGCGCAACTCCTTCCGTTTCACACCGACGGCCCTAAATTGTCGTCCGTACGTATTGACACGTCAAAAATCGTCATTGGAAACGTGCGCGTTCGTATTAAGTTATTCAACGCGCGCGCATTCATTTGTATGCGCTTCGAGTGCCAACACGTGTAATTCAGACGTTTTTCTTTCATACATCTCTGTATACATATATGTATTATTTTTTTCACGTAACACTTTACACGCATTCATATTGTATACGTTTCATCGCGTAACGCGAAAATCCGACTGAGAGGTTTGAAGGTTTTTGAGCATTTGTAACATTTGTCATGCGTATTCCGTCAAAACGATTATCTTTTCTCGCATGGATCATTGGAAATTCAAAATTAAACAACTCCATAATCATCGAGGGAAATTCATTTTTAATTTTACTTGACTATTATTAAAATATGTTGTTTATATATTTTTAAACGCTAAAAAATAATGTTTCCGAGTATCTATAGTTGTATTACACTTTCTTTGTTTTCGTTTTCAGAATAAATACTTTCCATATATATTGCATTATATTGGAAACTAAAACAGTGATTCGACATAAAAATGTTCATTATAAGGCACCTCAAATACAATTATTTATTACCACATTAAACCATATTACTAAATACATGTACATTTAGACACGCTTGATCATGTATCGGTAACAATCTAATTTGCGTATCGTCTTTTTCCACGCAAAATTGTCAACTAGTGACTATAGTATTTTATTAATTATTATGATTTACGTTCTCGACCAAGCTAAGGTTTACATTGCGAAGTACTTTAAAAATAATTGGAAACACAAAAACCAAACTTGTACTTCCATCAAATCACCTTATATTGTACATGCGTTTTTTCAGTACAATCTATTTTATGTTAATTAATCGATATGTTTTTCGTCTGTCTTGGAGACGTTTATTGATAGTTTACCGTTGTCGCAACAAACGATCCCGGGTTTCTGTTCGGTGTCCAGCTCATTCCTTCCCCACGTTAAACCGGAGCTACTTGCACGAGGCCGCTTGACCTTAGACCAGTGGTCGACCACTTTTAACCCCGTACAGATGTCGACGAACTTCGTTTTCGAACAAAATTTCGGAAAACCGACAAAACGAAATGAAATCAACACGTGGAACACGGGGAAAACGTTGCCGGAGGACGGCTGCACATTACACACGTGCGCCGGTGAGACGCTGCAGTGGTATACGTATTGTAACAGATCGCACACCCGTCAGTAGCACTGTCGCCTCGAAGTCATCGTGCCGTTACGTCGGACCGCGGTGGACCTTGAACGCGGTAACAACCGGTCGCAGGACACATGGTACGGGAAAAACCGTATTCAGGACGAGGAAGCGTCGCGCTTTTGTCGGTACACGTCGTCATAACAAGGAAGTGCGGCGGCCAGTACGTGCGCCTCGATGATCACAATAGATTGCGGCAATGGCGGTCCGTGCGTGTAAATCGCGATTTTCGTGAATCGCAGTGACGACACTCGACGACAGGGCATGCGTTTTTTTTTCCTCTCTCTTTGCGCCGATGTCTGCGAAAAATAACACGACGCATTTCCCGTGTTTTCCGCCGTCGAACAATATATTATTATGATGTATACGGATTTGGTTTGATTTCTTTTGTTCCATTGTCGCGGCGGTCCGAGTGAAAAATGCTTCATTGGACGACGGTTCGTGGCGGATAAAACACCAAGTGTCAGTGTGGTGCTAAACTCGCGTTGGAAAAATCTGATCCGGCCGTTTTTAATCCGTAACACAAATCGTTGTAGTACCATATAAAATCACGTGGTCGGACTGCATAATTCGTTGCGAACTTTAATTTGTTATTTCCTTGAATACCGATCAAATTTAATAACAATAAAAATAATTTCTTATTATTTTCGTTATAAATTATTAGTTAGTGAAATCGAGATAATTAATGTGTTTTCGAGGGAAAAAAAATTTGCAAGACTGCAAGAGTCTTGCAGTGATGGTCTTGTTTTGGTCTTAGTTTTGCAGCTTCGGTATTGTTTTGGACTTGTTCTTGCAAGTCTAATCTTGGTTTTGGTCTTGGTCTTGCAGCAAGAGTCTTGCTAGACCGCAAGACCAAGACCAATTTTGATTATCACTATGTTATTCTTAAAGTTTTCATAATTATGAAAATTTTATTAACATCCGGACGTCGTGAGTAATGATTGTGCAAGGGTAAAAAAATAATAAAAACAATATAACTAAACGTATCTATCGATAAAGATTTATCGCATTGGATCGCAGGCATGTAGGGTAACAAGGGCCAGGACTGCTTGATAGGCTCTCACTGATAACTGATTATAAACGAATCTCTCAATCTCTCTCTCTTTTTCACTTCCTCTGTAAATCTCGTTTAATGTGCTGTTAATGGTATCGTGCAAATACATTTGTCGGAATAATCATTAACGTATACCGAAGTTGCGCGAAACCCGTGTATCTGCAATTTCAGTTAGGTATGCACTGTGGAGATGCGGCCGACGACTTGCGAGCTCGATGTGGAACGCGTAGTCAATTAAAATGTATAATACCACAATAATTAATAACGATAACGTCGACGACAACTGAAACAACTTCATCGCCGTTTTCCGGCTCCGTACACGATGTCATTACAATAATATGAGATTGTAACACACAGCGGCGCGAGATAACAGCAATGCTGTATCAAGTCGTACGAGTCGGCTATTATAATATAATAATACTTAAATAATGATAATAATTGACGAGTTATCACGGGTCACATCTGTGCGCGTGTCCGTACGGTACAGTTATACAAGGTGCACGCGCATGATGTTAATTGCAGCTAATTTCTAGTTTTACATAATTTATGTTACATATATTATGTTAATACTCGTCGCAGGATGTGTCTACGCGTGGAGAATCAAATGTTTTCGTCTTAAACATCGGTCAATCGGGACTATCGCAAAACCGTTATCCATTTAATAGTCGCTGGATATTATGCTAGTATACGATATTGCAGCTCTAGTCTTTCATCAGAAATGATTCCTGCATGAGAATAGTTTGTTATGACCGTTAAGAAAATCAACAAACGATGATAGGATATAATTTATTTAAAAAAAAAAATACTTGCTAACCCGGTTAATAACGGGTAAACGGCTGACCGTTCAGGGTAATCCATAAGACACGAAATAATATAAAAAAGATGAAAAACAATCGATTTTTAGACAACAATTTCTATCCGCGTTCAAGTTTTCATTAAAAAATTATTAGCAGTATAACTGAACATTTTATCATAACGCGGCCGAGAAGAGTGTATTTTTTAACATGTGTCCTTCTTACCGCAACTTGGTAGAAAATGGATAAATAACGATTTTCTCATTTGTACAACAATATTAAATTATAATACTTTGTGCATTTTTTATTCGTGTCACTCATATCTTCGGTTTCATTTTTACGTGCTAATATAATAAGGTTTTGGAGAGACGCTAGACTGCAGAAGAAAAATAAAAATACATAAATATCAATTCAAATCCAAACGAAGACTTTTTAAATAAGGTAAATATCAAACCATAAGTCAAGGCCGGTTAAATTGCCACCGAGACTAGATTTAATATTATTATTCGCGGGTACACCACATAATGTTCGACGCATTACGTATATATAGTGTAAAAAGTCAGTCTCATGGTCAACCCTATATGCGCGACGACGACGGTTGATTGCATATGTATGGGTTTCTGTTCAGCTTTGACGAGCAGATTGATTTTTTATTGGACATTTTTTTTCCTTCGGCGTAATCCGTGCTAAATATCTTCTAGGAAGTCTGCCACGATCACAAAGCGCCAAGGATACTGCTGCTGGTGACTATTGTTCTGCTCTGCTGGGAAAGCATATCACGTATCACCTGTGTACATACGTGTACCTACCTATATATAGATAGAAGTAGGAAGATATATAAGTACGTAAACGGACGAGGAAGTGTGTCGGTGACCAGCAGAAATGTCGGAAAAACGAAGAGGAAAAATAATAAAATATGCTATTTGATCAGAAGGGGAAAAAATGAAAAAGAAAAAAACTACACAACAATGTAACATAAAATACACACGATGTATGAACACGGTCCGATGATATAAATGTAGCTGATATTATTATTATTATTATTGTTAACCCATATGAAATTAAGAGTAGTCTTATAACGCGAATTAGTGACGTGACTTTAAGTAAAATTCTACGGGGAGGATGACATAGTTGAATACATTTTATTTTTTAAAGATAGCCCTCTCTTCACGAGTTACGATATCATAAACTAAACATCTTGACAAAAAATATTAACGATTCATAAAAGTATAATAATATTCCTCATATTCTTTAATATTAAGCCAATTATATTTTATTTGACGCACCAAAGGCAAGAGTACAGATCTATATTTTTATGCTTACAATCAATAAAATTAGAGACAAATAGAAAAAGAAAATGCGCATGGACTTATAGCTGTCTTAGACTACAAAAATAAAAATAAATAAATATACTATTTGTTATTTTACAATTAAGTTTATATCTTGTTTTTCCAGGCACCTCCGCTCTCAGAAATATACTCTGGATCCGGAGTTGTACATTAACGCACGAGGAAAGCTGTCCACCCAAAAGGTAAATAAAAAAAAAAAAATACTTAATATTTTTTTTCAGCTTTTGTTGGTATTAAATGAATAAAATAATCACCGTACTTTATGTAAGTTATCGGGACAGTGCTCGGGAGGCAGATAGCCCTTATTTATATATAACTTTGATGCGTGGTTGGTTTTTCGAATTCGTATGTAATGCGTTTGAGAAAATCAATAAATCAAAATTCTTGTTTCTCTGCGCTCCTGAAATACCAGTGGTATGGCCTATCTTAAATCGTAGCTTATGTATTATATTTTTTCATACTATAAGTGGAACTTTAGACATTTTAACTGGACTAGGAAAAGTGTTTTACTTATACATTATACGAAATTTTAGGTTTAAAACATCGGTGGATTTAGCGATTATACCTATAAAAGGATATATTGCTATATACTAATAATAGTATAATAGAGTTCAAGAAGTCCTTTGTTTTTTTTTTTTTTTTTGCATAAAGAAATCTAGGTTTATTCGAAAATAGTATTTTAACTTGGTATAAAATGTAATATATTATTATTAAAAAAAGCATCTCTACTCCTTGTTATACAATTAATTATGTATTGAAATCTCATGAATTTTCATTTTATCGGTAGCACTTTTACGGCCTTCGTGATCTATAGAACAACAAATACGTTATCTGTGACAAAATCCACACTCCCAAGTTAATACATTCTATATACAAATATTATCTTTATAATACCTTTTGGCTTGTCACGACAGTTTCTTTTTTGCTTCCGATATGGTAATACGTACTCGGGTCGACTTAAGACCGAAAGACTTCCGCGACCGCCGATTCTGCCATTACCGTTTCCACCCGTTTACATCTCATCTCAAGAACAGTAAATAAATTAGTAGATCGTCAAGGTTACGGTTAGATTCGTCTTCAGAACGGTTGTCACAAATCAATATTTGTTGACTATCTGCAGTATACCGGTTAGTCGGTACAATACTGTTATTTAATTTTCAGCCCCGTCCGTATAGTATATAGTTTTAATCATTTCGTCGTCGCAATGTACACGCGCGCGTAACTCCTCGATGTGATGACGAGCGACGATGTGGTCGGCAAACGTGCGCGAAACCCGTCATTGTTGCCGTCACATAATAACGATAATAATAATAATAGTAATTATAATAAGAATAATACTCTGCTGGTGAAGAATGTGCATATTATATACTGTGTATTATTATCGATCTCATTAATCGGTCGACCATTGTTTCGCGCGTACTCGCGGCATGTACGGCCAAAACGAGCGGAACAAATATCGGTTTACGGTTCTTTCGGTGCTTCTCCTCCTTCATTGTCGCTTTATCACTGCTCCGTCGTCCGGCAAGAGGAGAACGACAAACGCGGCTCGTCGGCCGCTCTGGTACGCGTAACTCTTGTTTTTGTGCTATACGCACGTGCGCTATGAAAACAAAATTACACCGTCCATCACACGAATCGAATCCTCGAGAATTTCCATTTTATCCGGCGGTTTCAATTTCGAAACATTGCATTTGCCGCGCAAAGACCGGACATTACATACGCCACTTGAACATGTACAACCGGAAATTCAGTTCCATGCTCACCAGCTACTTATATATATTTTTTATTCGTAGTCAGTGAATTTAGGCGGTTTGCAATTTTCAGTTCAGTGCGTTTAACCGTGGAATGCAAGCAAACGTAGCATCTTTATTATTGTGTCGGCGACTAAAATAAGAAGACCATTCCGTTGTTGGTTTCTTCAAATATTTCGTTCCAAGCTTTTCTTGTCTCGTCCCAATCTTTATAGACATCAAGAGTTTTGTCCTGAAATACGAGCTTTACCTCAACTAAAAATATAAGTTGATTGATATCTATATCAATTATAATAAAAATTTGGCAAAAAAAAAAAAAAATGACACAAAATAAATGATTTATAAATTATTAAGTAATGTCCAGAACGAGTTTTTCAAACTGGTTTCTTACGTGACAGATTTGATGTGACCGATAAACGACGAATTGCCGGGCACGTGTGAACGGGCAATTAATTATATTTTTCCGTTATCTATTTCAATAGGTACCTGCTACACGGATCCGGATCATTTAGCCGGTGCAGTGGAAGTAATCGGGCGCCAGTGTCGGCCAACACATATGAAAGCTCTCGTTCTACTAACACACCACTGTTAAACAGTCATAAAATCTCTCGAGAGAAATGGACACTTGGAATCGTTTGATCCCTTTACAATTTTTCGTTTGACTAGTTCGGCTTATAGTTATAATCGGTCTTAAAATGTATAAAGAAACAACGGTCTGTCCTTGAGGTATCTTTAATATACATATATATATATAAATCATTGATACCCACGATTGGGTGAAAGCTAGCGGACGGTTAGATCGATCGTGTGCCGCGAGTGCTGCGCAGAGATAATTGCACGAGTGTATGATGCTTGGTGACGGTTTATCATGTACCTATGATTATGTATACGTCTCCTTATGGCGCGATAGATCACATGTACGGTAAATGTCATCGTTGTACCGATTATTCAGAGGGTCAACAACATATTTGCTAAACGTTCACTTTTACCGAACGCGTACCGATGATCGGGAGCTGTTGTATTATTGTCCTTGTAAGGCCATATTATTGTACTATGTGACTGCGTACGTTTGCCATTATTACGTTCACTGTACAGCGTGTGGGCGCGTAACATGGTTTTGTCGCCGTCGGATAAACATCTACGGGGATTCGGTTCAGCACAGCATCGAGAGCCCGCAAGTCTTGGGGAAAATGATAAGCGTCGCTTGCACATGACGTACTGAAATTGTATTGATCTCGGGCAATGTTGTTCAATGTTACAAAGTTGGTCGAAAGAAAAAATAAAGAAATGTCCAGCCCACCGGTCGTCATTTAGCACGCGCGCAGTATGTTAACGCCGACGTAATTTAACGTAATTATTTCGGTTTTCGCTCGCGTTTGTCCACGTCCGTTTCACGTAGACGTCACACAACAAACATGAATAAAAGAAAAATATAAAAATACTGCACATACGGTCACGTTTTTACGTACAATTAATAGTTCCGAGCGGTTTTCGAATGACAATTCTTAATACCTGCTTCGGTTCGACAAGAGAACGCAAAAAAAAAAAAAAAGTGCCTCTTTATCTGTCTTATGAATACATCACGGATTAGTAAGTCTCGCGATTCACCCGATCACAATTGAACTATCGTCGTTCACGTCGTTGCTCATTTTCGCTGCTCTCTTCGCGAGCGATGCAAATCCCCGGGGTACACGATGTACGATAATAATATTTTTCGCGTCCGGTTGACATCTGCGGCTATTTATTGATCGAGATTGCGACGGCGGGAAGCGCAAAAAAAAAGAAGAAAACAACGACGAAACAACGAACAAATGTATAAATAACCGACGGTAAAACGTCGCGGACGCAACGCCAGACACGTCCAATTTGTATGCGCGTCTTGCACTCGGCCGCCGCGCACGCACCCCCGACCCGTCACCAAGGTCGTTATGTGTTACACGCGCGTAATATATGCGATATTATGCAGTCGACGGACTGTTGCGCCGTACGGTATCGCGTAGTTGTTGACGTCCGCCGTCTCGTAAGTTACGTCCGACGGCGGGGTCCGAGAAAATCCTTCGACAAGAATTCATACATCCACTGAACAACACTGCTCCTGGCAGTGCGTACCGAACGTCGTACTATATGTGCTTTTGAAATCGTGTACCAGAGGAACGTGAGACAACATAACATGTGTTATTTTTTATACCCTTACGAAATCGATTTGCGAACGTGCGAACGTGCTTGGGTTTCGCTGAAACCCGAAACCCCGTGGAACATACGCCCGACGCACAGCAACGGATCTCAATCGATTTATTCTGGGAAAAACTGTAATAAATAAACATTACGGCAGGTTTGCGAGCTCTGTCGAACGCTCGCACTGGCCTTCGAGAAGATTTTTTCGGTAATAATTTCTTGCCCACCAGCCCGACGAAAAGAAAGTATACTTTACTTGAATGTAATACTACTTTGCATCGAGAGGGTTATTTTTGACAGACGCACGTAATATTTTAGTCGATCATACGGTGTTTTCGATGACCAAACCAACCATGTGATTTGAACCATCATATTATTATTTGGGCTTATTTTAAATCTTAGGAAAGCCATAACCTTACCGTGGTGTGGCCACTGACCATGTGAGTGTTTCCTGAAACAGCATCATTTCTTCTGATCGCCACCGGATGTCGTCGAATAATTCGGGCGTTTGTGTATTTATACCATATACATATCACGTATCACGCATATCATATATTGTAAGGCAAGGGTCAAGATATTCCTTCGAGTTATCAAAAATTTGACTAATAGAGGTTCGAGTTATCGAGATTCCATTGTATATACATGCTACAATTCGCTCGTACTCGCCATGTGTACACTGACCTCACCATCACTCTGCGTGTTTACTCGCATAAACGTTTTGTCGAGTATCTCTTTATCTGCCCGTACGTCGTACGCAATATAACATGTACACGTGCACGTAACATTTTTTCGTACACGTTATTCAGTATACTTGTTTAATTATAACGTTCGGCGCATTTGAACCCATCATAATTGTACGGTTTTGTCGCCGTTCACGAGAAGATAATGTGTTCCAGTGGAAAAAATTTTCGATCTGATACGCGAACAGGTTGGCTTTCCGAGGTAAGATTTGCATAATCCAACCGGGAAAAAATTAATAAAAAAACACCAATCGATTTAAAAATTCGATACTTTTGCCACTTCGAAAATGCGGATTAATTATACATTTTTTATCCCTGTTCTTGCCCATTCTTTACCGTGCGTATAATCGTTCAATTAAAGCAATATAGTGTACCATGGTTGATATAGATTGGCTTTCGCATAATGATCCAACATCGTGCAACTTATTTCGCTCGTTTGTATAACATGCTTTATCGCAGTGGTTGCAAATCTTAATGCGATAAACCATCCGCGGTATATTACGTGAATACGTGCAT